TTTTTTTTTAAAATCCAGATTATAGGTTGAAGGTGAGAAATCATAAAGCGACATGATTACTGTGACATCCGTTACAAATCAGTAGGATTTCATACTATATTCATAATTAAACTTGCTTATTAAGTTTGATGATAACTACCTATTCAAGTTTGATGATAGTAAGAAAAAAATGTTACTCCCTCCGTCCCTTTTTAGTTGTCCACTTTAGAAATGGCACACAGATTAAGGCAACAATGATTAGCACAGTGAAGTTACAATTTTACCCTTATGACAACTTTTCACTTCAAAATTACAACCACTTATTTGAATTAAAGTGAAATAAATTGGAGGGAAACAACATACACTTTTACAATTTTCAAGAAGTGTAAATAAGGGTATAATAGGAAAAAATTTGTTGTCCTTTCTTGATTTGTCAAAATGGACAACTAAATAGGGACAACTAAAAAAGGAAATATGGACAAGTAAATAGGGACGGAGGGAGTATTAACCTTTATATGCTTAATTATTACTTTTATTTTTTCTGTAAAAATAACATTTTATTTTATTTTTATAAGTAAGTTCTGAAACTAGTTGTTTTTAATATCATGATATATATGAATAAATAAAATAAAGACAAAAGTTATATTTTAATAATATAGAGGGCATAAAAGTTTTATTTATTGGCGAAAAATAAATGTTTTCAGTAGAAGTATCAGGAATAGGCGAAGAACATTCCAGATGTCTTAACTGGACTAAAAAGACCATTTTGCCCATACTATTTTTCACACACGAAAATCCGGTTCAGTCGTTACCATCGTAAAACGTAGAAGACTCCAGAAGCAAATATTGCATTCCCACTTCATCGCTAATAGAAGGACCTAGAATCTCATGCATTCATATATAAACCCACAGCTCTCATGCTTTAGCTCATCAAAAATCGTAACTCACAAGTCTTCTTTCTGAATTTACGATCAACATCTTATTCATTTTCACTCGATCGGCGTTTATTTTTGGTTTTGTTGAGCTTTGAGCATCAATGGCGGATGTGCAGATGGCTGAGGCAGAGACATTTGCTTTTCAGGCTGAGATTAACCAGTTGTTGAGTTTGATCATCAATACATTCTACAGTAACAAGGAGATTTTCCTTCGTGAACTCATTAGCAATTCTTCTGATGCATTGGATAAGATCCGGTTCGAGAGCTTGACGGATAAGAGCAAGCTCGATGCTCAGCCTGAACTCTTCATTCGCCTTGTTCCTAACAAGGTGAATAAAACTCTTTCCATCATTGATAGTGGTATCGGCATGACTAAAGCAGGTAATGTCATTTGCTTTCTCACAATTTTATACATTGGTTTACTATATTCCATTCCAGAGGTTTATCTGCTTGATTTTCGCTGTTACTGCATTTTTCTATATGGAGCTTTACCTGAAAAATCTGTAATGCATGATACAGGAGCGGATATAGCAAATATTAGGTACAGGTTCAATTGAATTTATTAATTTCGAGGTTAAGCATAAATATATGTCTAAAATTACAATAATAAATAGTAGACAGGGACTCATGACTCTAAATCTTAAATCCGCCTCTACATGGATAAGCATGTAATGTACTTGTGTAGTTATCTTTGTTGGCGTTGGAGATTAATGCGTTTTCCTTCATTTGGATTTAAATTTATAAATATGACTGTAAATTTTATACTATCTGTGTGTTTGAGTAGTTAACCGAATTAGGATTAGGTTCGTCTCTGATAGTTGAAGAATTCCTAGGCCCATGCAGTTCATGTTGTGTATGAATTGATTCTATGGTTGAATTTTAGTAGGGTGGTTGTGTTTATATGCTGTAGAGATTCTACAGATTTAGGCCAGAATGGTACTAATACCTCTGTTTTCTCTGTGGTTGCACAGATCTGGTTAACAATCTGGGTACAATTGCGAGGTCCGGCACAAAGGAGTTCATGGAAGCTCTACAGGCTGGGGCTGATGTGAGCATGATTGGACAATTTGGTGTGGGTTTCTACTCTGCGTATCTCGTAGCAGAGAAGGTTATTGTAACCACCAAGCACAACGATGATGAGCAGTATATCTGGGAATCACAAGCTGGTGGTTCATTCACTGTTACAAGGGATGTTGATGGGGAGCAATTGGGCAGAGGAACTAAAATCACTCTCTTCCTCAAGGAAGACCAGGTAATTTCATATTTCTAACTAAAATATATATCTGTTTTATTTGTGCACAGAAACAATAAATCATAACCTGCTTTCGGTAGTTGTACCAAATCGACTAGTAACTTCCATTTAAACTTTAATTAAGATGTGTTCTTGAAGACTGATGTTTGTTCTTGTTAATGATCCTTCGTAGCTCAATTAATTTGGTTTGGTTCATACACGTGCATGTAAGTTTTCTTAGGCGTCAATCAGTTGTAGAATATTATTTGTAATTAACTTGCATTGATACTTGCAGTTGGAGTACTTGGAGGAAAGGAGAATCAAAGACCTTGTGAAGAAGCATTCTGAATTCATTAGCTACCCAATTTACCTGTGGACTGAGAAGACAACTGAGAAGGAAATCAGCGATGATGAAGATGACGAACCCAAGAAAGAACAAGAGGGTGATATTGAGGAAGTGGATGAGGATAAAGAGAAGGAGAAAGGTAAGAAGAAGAAAATCAAGGAGGTTTCTCATGAGTGGCAGCTCATTAACAAGCAGAAACCAATCTGGTTGCGCAAACCAGAAGAAATCACAAAGGAGGAATATGCCGCTTTCTACAAGAGCCTGACCAATGATTGGGAGGAACACCTTGCAGTCAAGCACTTTTCTGTTGAGGGGCAACTTGAATTCAAGGCAATCCTCTTTGTACCTAAGAGGGCTCCATTTGATCTATTTGACACCCGCAAGAAGAAGAACAACATCAAACTTTATGTCAGGAGGGTGTTCATCATGGACAACTGTGAGGAACTTATCCCCGAGTACCTTGGATTCGTGAAGGGTGCTGTTGACTCTGATGATTTGCCCCTCAATATCTCCCGTGAGATGCTGCAGCAGAACAAGATTCTCAAGGTCATTAGGAAGAACCTCGTGAAGAAATGCATTGAGATGTTCAATGAGATTGCAGAGAACAAGGAGGACTACAACAAATTCTATGAGGCTTTCTCAAAGAACTTGAAGTTGGGCATTCATGAAGATAGCCAGAACAGAGCTAAGTTGGCTGACCTCCTTCGATACCAGTCAACCAAGAGTGGTGATGAGCTGACAAGTTTGAAAGATTATGTAACCAGGATGAAGGAGGGTCAGAAAGACATCTACTACATCACTGGAGAGAGCAAAAAGGCAGTCGAAAACTCACCATTCTTGGAACGCCTAAAGAAGAATGGATATGAAGTACTCTTCATGGTTGATGCCATTGATGAATATGCAATTGGGCAACTGAAGGAATATGATGGTAAGAAACTAGTTTCTGTTACGAAGGAGGGCCTGAAGCTTGATGATGAGAGTGAAGAAGAAAAGAAGAAAAAGGAAGAGAAAAAGCAGTCTTTTGAGAGCCTTTGCAAGGTCATCAAGGACATACTTGGAGACAGAGTTGAGAAGGTTGTAGTCTCTGATAGGATTGTTGATTCTCCATGTTGCTTAGTGACAGGTGAGTATGGTTGGACAGCTAACATGGAAAGAATCATGAAAGCTCAAGCTTTGAAGGACAACAGTATGAGCTCTTACATGTCTAGCAAGAAGACAATGGAAATCAACCCTGATAATGGCATTATGGAGGAGTTGAGGAAGAGAGCTGAAGTTGACAAGAATGACAAGTCAGTGAAAGATCTTGTGTTGCTGCTGTTTGAGACAGCTCTGCTGACATCTGGTTTTAGTCTTGATGACCCAAATACTTTTGCTTCAAGAATTCACAGAATGCTGAAGTTGGGTTTGAGCATTGACGAAGAAGAGGAAGCTGGTGAGGATGTTGATGATATGCCTCCTCTAGAGGAAATGGGTGAGGAAAGCAAGATGGAGGAAGTGGACTAAGCACTTGGTGTCATCTCAATGCCGTTCATATCGAGATTCTAGATACCCTAAATAGTTGTTTTTCTTTTTGAATACTGTGTTCTTCCGAGTTAGTAGTGTCATGTTGTGTAAGCAAAACCCATATAATAGTATCATTTTAGGATCGTACAAATTAATGGAGTGTCAATTTGTTTTGTGATATGCTAATCCCTTCGTTGGATAATTGTTTAATCCTCCACCTTATCATTCTCTTTCTCTTATGGTGTTATCCTGTCGTGAACTGTAAAGTGTCTTCATTGGTTAAACAACATTTACCTTTTTACAGAAACCTACTCGTCTGATCCTAGCTCTGCGCTTGTGGAGGAAGGGAGAACTATAAGATTATCATAAAACTGCAATGAAAGCAAAGCGCCTATTCACACATGTATCACTTGTCTTATTCTTTGTTACGATCAAGATCTACAATCAAATAGGCGCAGGAATCAGGTGAACAATGCTTAAGAGAGCAAATGAGACCTCCCTCACTGGATTTTGTTGATCTCGTGCTGGACTCTGATTCAGAAAATGTGAAGAGTGCAACTTTTACTTAAATAATGCTAACCAATTTGCCGAAACTGTAGCTGAGGGATTTCAAAATACATCAGCAGGGGTATTTGAATTCTTTGTCCACTCTTTTCGGAATAGCGAATATATATATCAAAGAAAGATCTAATTGTTATTTGATACAGTGAATTAAGTGGAAGCATGCGATTTGAAACCTCCATAAATAAAAGCCTACATAGATTTCCAATGCACAGAAACAATGGATTAATAAAACAAGTACTTCGCTAGTAGTGATAGATACACGTTGCTGCTGCTGTAGCGGTAGATACATTATTCGCAGGCAACAGAAGCAAACGCAAGTGTGAAAATCCACCAGTTTAGCAGTCCAAACACCAGTGAAAATCAAGGATCGTCATTTGTTTTACATTTGCCATGAAGAATTTGTATTGCAGAGGCTGGAGTCTGTCAAAACTTGAATTTACATAAACCCAGCTTTATATATTTAAGTTCCTGCATCACAACTATCATCTCTGTTTATATCTAACAGTATGTACACAAATATGAACTCCACAAGCAAAAGAACTCTGAATCTGACATAGCAGCTGCTATCAAACAAACCACAGGCTTTTGGTATTATTACATGTGCGTCCTTCAATTGCCGTTAGTTCCCGACCAGTTCCGATATGGCTTTCATCGGGACAATAATACTCTCGAGCAAAGAATAATGGGAGCGGTATGCAAAAACCATTGTATGCAGTACCCGAACTGAACATCACTTTGAAGTTGGTTGTCATTGATTTTATTTGCACTGCTTCTCCATTTCTATATCATACGATGAAAGCAGCTGCCTCTGCATCAATAATCAACTATCAATTTGAGATGAAGACTAGCAAATAATTGTTCCTCTGAAAGATAAGAGAAGAGGGGGGAAATGCGCAAGACAAGTAACAATACACATGTAGGGGGGATGACCTTTATATGCAAAATACTTTTCCCATATGAAACTGATACATCTAATACAGCATCCTAGCACTTCCCTGAACCCGAACACAAATTTCTTATAAATCAAGCAAATATTTTTTTTTAAAAAAGCCACTCTGGGCTGGAACGATACCAGAAAAGCTTATACAGTGGTAATTGGAATATTGACAGAAAAGTCACCAGGAGGTTCATGCTTTCTGGAACAAGTCATCATAAGGAAGTGCAAGTCCCAAGACAAGTGTGAGTATGTTGTATAGTAACGAGACGCGGTGCTGTAGGTACGAGAAAATGACCAAAATGGTCCTTAATGTATGGAAGTTGAATAGATATTTGTGTAACTATAAATCATTAAATTACAGGTAAAATGGGAAGTTTAAAGTTAAACTGTTACTAAATATAAAAAAAAAGGTGTCGTTCTTTTTTGGACTAGCTAAAAAGGAAGAATAGTGCATAAATTGGGACAGAGGACGTACCACTTAACGTATGCAAAAACTGAAAACCTTTATTCTAAATCATAAAACTGCCGACTCCTTCACAAAATTCGGTTAAACTTAACTGTGAAAATCACGCTTCACAATGACCAGAAATGGCTGAAACAGTTAAATCTAAAGAGGGCGCATTAACATAAGAAATTATTGATCAGTCATCAGAGGTGTGGTGCTGTCAAAACAATCACCAGAAAAAAGCTGAAACAGAAAATCAAATCTACTGGAACAGGGAAAGAATGAAAGTTTTTGACCGAGTGGGTTACATATACAGCATAAAGCAGCTTGTCAGTAAACAAAAACGACGCAAATCTCCACCGAGATCATAGAGGTCTTCTACCAGTGAGAAGGGAGAGAATCCGAGAATGTGAGACCAGTATCTTCACGCCTAGAAATTCTTAAAGATGATTTATGCAATACATGTATACTTCACTTTGACATGGAACAATATAGCTATCCTAAGATTCTAATATTCCAACATTCTACCAATTCCCTCTCCCCAATCTCAAAAACCAACCTCCGCTCTCCAGCCTCCCCAACTATCTAACCTCCACATTCGTGCTCTTTGCCCTCCTGGGTCAGCACCAAGAGGTAAAAGCAGAACTGCAGTCCTCTGCCTTACCACTCGGCCATGTCGTCAAAATGCTACAAATACAAAATACATGAAAACAATAGCTGCAGATTTCACTAATTTCAGACCAACCACGCCAAATGGCAAAAGAACCAGCAGAAGCTATCCAACCAAAAGCTTAGGTAAACATTTAAAAGCCATCAGAAATCAGAATGCGAAAAACATATTGTACTTACATGATGCTCAAAATCAGGGCTTGTAAGGTTGATAGAGAGGTTTCTCATCAGCAATAACACCTGCACAAGAATAGAGCAGAAAATTTATCTAAATCTCGAATTAAATGCTTGAGGCACCAACTCCAATGAGGAGCATACGACTAATCTCTTTTAGATGGTAAACATGATTTAAGGTAACTGAAAACATATGCCTACATGTGTACGATGAATTTAAGGGCAAAGACCTGGGTGGGGTATGGGAAGGGATCAGCGTATTGTGGAATTAGTTATCGGATGCATTCTATAGTTGAAGACATCCTTTATTGCCATATGCAATGGTGCAAATTCCAATTACCAGATTCAAGTGTTGCTAAATTTCTATTCTTCCTTCAAAGTGTAGCATCCAGATTGAATGCCCACAGGTCACATACATGTTAACAACACACTATAGCAAGTATTCACTAAGCAAATGAAGATTGAACATTATATTTTATGACAATCATAAATTCACTACTCCTACCTTTTGCAGGGAAAGAGCTGGCACTGGCAGGGATACAAAGGAGTAAAGTCAGCCCCTATATCCTTCCCCCCGTTATCTATCTTAAGAGAGGAATTACTCATAGCAATTTGAAGAAATTTTCAACCCATCCCTTCCCTTCCTATGTCAATGCCAGGAAGAAGACATTAAAATTTGATGAGAAAGCGTTTGTTGACTAGAGGATGAGAACAAATTCTCCGTGTATGCAGTGGCATAGAAATAGGAAGCATTAGTCCTTAAGAAAATACAATAATTAAAGATCAGGAGACACCTTCTTTACAGAAGCTTTATCTTTGAAAGTACTCCTGAAGACAAAGTTCAAGTTGTATAGGCAAACAAGACGAGAAAGAGGATTAAGCCACAGGATAATGAAACAGCACAGAATAGAGTGTATACCGTCTCAACATCAATCCGGTCCATTTTTTTCAATTTCTGCAAGTGTCCAGTTACAGCAGGGTCAAATACACTGCCGATGAAATTGTATACTTGAGCAAAGTCTGGCAAAACTGCAGATACAAAAAGAATTTACAGCAGCATTAGCGCAGTAAATATCAAACTAAAGCACCAGCTCTATTTAAAATAACATCTAAATTAGAAGAGAATTTTGATTCTATATTACGGAAAAAAAAAACTTTAATTCTGCAGAATGACGGCAATACTATCAGTGAATAGAGCGAAGGATAACATGGCATAGAGTAAACCAGATTTAGATCTAGCTAGCATCAAATCAGGCTATGCCACGAAGTCATCAAATGCAGCAAGGACCATAGCTGCAGATAAAATGTTTTTTTTTTTAAAAAAAAATGCAAAGAAAAAGAACGACTGGAAGTCATATTTGGCCATCCAAAGATAAATCACCAACATTGGAGAAAATTCTGGACAAAAACTGCAAACTATAGTTCAAGAAAAACTATACGTTTCACCAACAATAATTAATTATCACATGATTTTCTGGATCACAACTGACAAGAAACACAGATTCATCGAACATAATCAGAAACACACGCAAGGACGAATAAAAAGCAGCATGTCATCTTGCTCATTCAGAAGTCAGAATAATAATGAGGACTTTGCAACTGCAGATTTTTATCAATTAACAAAGAGATATTAAGGCCTGTGATTTTCACAAACAAAATGGAGGGACAGGTTACAGGCTGGAACAAAACGAAGCAGTCCACAGGATAAAAGAGAAGGCACTCTTCAATTGGCCAAGGAAAAGAGGATAGGATGGTGATAACTTATGTAAACTAGATACAGAGAATATAGCTTAGTTGATTTGACAGTGCAAGCATATAATAACACTGATTGAAGCTGAGAACATGAAGAAGAGCTTTATAAGAAGGGAGATGAAGATATTCTGTATCTCAACTACAATTGGAATCATGATTAACTGCAATTCGGCAAGGTGACTAGTTTTAAGATCTACTATACAGCTTTATCACTCTTCGCAGGAATTAGACTAATGGTGGTGCCTATCAATAGTGGTTGGTGAACAAAACAAGACTTGTCCAATCGCATATTGATTCCTTAATCCTTACCAAGAGTTTCAGCAATTAGATCTTGATTTTTAAGAGAAATGAACTCTTTTGACCCGACATGATTGAGATTTCAAAGCTGGAAAAAAGATTGCAAATCATTTAACAAGAATAAAGGAAAAACGCAAGGCGATCCAACTTCTGGGATGATCTTATCATATGGAAAGATGCTGCTTAACGTCATTCTCTTCCAAGTGTGTCTGTACTTGTCTTGGACTCTTGTCACATATATTAAGGTCAATCTACCTTTAGGACTTTATCCCATCTCTTTTACTTTCCAATTTGCAATATTTTGGCCAAGTTAAAAACTTAGTGCTACAAGTAGGAGTCTTGTGAAACAGGCTTGGATAGAAATTGGTGAGAGAAACATTGTCAAAGCTCTGTGTACAGCTTGTCGTCTAAGCTCCACCTGGTCACTAAGTAACTCTCCTATAAAAGCCATACGTATCAAAATGTTTTTATTAACCTTGACCCTTTTCAGTAAAAAGAAATTGAATGTGTGTTGTGAAGGTCTCAAAGCAAATCCGCCTTTCTTCTTCCTTTGTGCATTGGAACAATGGAATTGACCATCATAAACATAGTTCACATGCTTTATTACTTTTATGTTTGGTGTAAATTAGTATTTAGTTCAAATCTGTGATGTGCACCTAATTCACATATCACGCACCCGCTCTTACCAATTACCGCCAGACCAAAGCCTGGGTGGTGCAGAACCATAATGGAATGTTATTGTAGGATAATAGTTTCACAGCCCAAATTGTTGTCTAATTTCAAGTCTAAAAGTCAAAATCCAGAATATCGACTTACCTCTCATTGAGGGTACTTGGGTCCGCTCCATCACCTTAACTGTTGATTTTGATCTTGGAGTGCTTTCATTACTACTGCAGCAACGGTTATTGGCGACTGGCTGACCTGTTTCTCTCACGTTATCTGTCAGAAGAACAGTCAATTACTTCAGTTCAAAGCCCAAGATGCCATAGAAGTGAGATTACAGTATCTAACCAAAAGAGAACCCGTAATAACTAAACCTTTCTTCATTTGCGACAAACTAACTGGTGGCACAGAGTTGTCAGTCCATGACGGCACAGACATAACAGTAGCTGGATTGCAAGGCAACAAAGAAGAATCGGGCCTTTTTACAATTCCAGGTTCCGGTAATGGAAGGGAAGCTTGAAAAGATGTAGGCACCGGTGAGACAGCTGGAGCTGCCGAGATTTCAGAAAGCAAATACAATTATTTCCATGTATAGCTGATGTTAATAAAATTAAACCACAAAAAATAATTCCTACCACTTTTTGTGGCTTTCTGTGGGTAGGGATGAGCAGCTTTTCTTTTTGGCCGAGGAGGAGGAAGATGTTCAGTCGTTCCACTTTTCTGGACTTTCAGAAAATATTTCTGAGCATGGCTACGTATCTGCAGAAGTGATCAAACTTTTTAAGACACCTCTGGGCACATCTCCAAAGATTGATGTATAACCAAATAAAAGCAATCCATTTGGTTCAGTTCTGCTCTATTTGTTTTTGGTTTATGATGTGCATAGCACACACCACCAGATACAGTTGTGTGATTCATTTTTTTCAGTTTGGGCCGTGAATCGAGCTTTTGTTAGGACCTCGTATTTTGGTTATTGAGACTCTAATTAATTAATAAACAATATGATCAATTTAAGTTTGAAAGGCTATTGGGTAACAGTGCAACATATAGTTGGCTTCCTTGACGAAGGTGCAACCTGTGTTTCTGTAAAAATATAAAAGTTCCATCTGAATACCCTGCTTCTCAAAAAATAACAAATTGAAGGAAAGCTATGCCCAACTTCATAGCTTCTCCAACAGATCAAAGTCAAAATATTGATACAGACATGGCAGAAAAACTAATGGAAAGAGAAGGGAGGGCAAAAGAAATATGTGACTGCGTGAGAGAGATAAAAATCAATTGGATCTTGTCCCAGCCTAGGGAAGAAAAATAAATAAATAAAATGGAGGAAAAAATGCAAGAAGAGACATACTAAAACTTCATCTACCGGCCTTTTACTTGTGCCATTTGGACACGACAGAAAATCGATTTACATAGACGGGTGAACAGTAAATATCATCAGATATAAAAGCAGATGAATAGCTGGGAGGTTCTGAGATACCAGGCCTTTGTTGGTGGCAATTTGGAGAGCTAAAGAAGTGAGAAATCTGCTCCTCGTGATATATCTGATCTGCTCATTCCAACAATAAATCTAGCCTCTTTTGGACGATATGAACAGATTGAAGCCAAAGGGAGAAACTGGAAGAAAAAACAAAGGGATGGAAAAGAAAGGCTCACCGAGATAGGAGAGTAAGTAGAAGTGAACCCTAACTCTCCCATACACCCATAACTTTTGCTTTTCGGTTTGAAAATTGAATTACAAAACGAACCAAATAAACCAAAATTTTTGGTGTAGTTAGTTCCCCGACTTAAACCAAATAAAGCACATTTCAGAAGCTTATATTAGAAAAAGTTACTTTAGTACTTTGAGTTTTTCAAGTAAACATAGTCAATGGCCACAAAGACTTTAGCAAGTGTTTTTTACTAGAGCTAACAATGACTTTTACTTTCTCAAAAGAAAGTCCTCTTTACTAGACCAGTAGAGGAAGCCGAAAATTTCCGAAGTGGATTGAAAAGGAAGTTGGGGATGGACATAGATCCTTCTGCCTATAGGAGTGTTGGAAATATTGCAATGGTTTTTTGTACTTCTTATTTCCCGGTCATTAAATAATCCTGATGACAAGTGACTCCACCCGCAGAATAGAAAAGCAAAACCAATTCTAACTCCAAAACAAAAACTCTTGCCACAAGTATAAAGATAAGCACGGAGATCCTAATCCTAAGCAGTTACAAGTACTCGAAACAACAAAAATGGCTCTTTAGTCACTTTGCTATCCATTTTACCCACGAAAACTAGCAAATTCAGGGATGATAGTTGATCATGTGTGCCATCAACTCCCTATTACTCATACCTGTAGTAACATTCCCACATGCTTATCTTTGTGACACAAACCCCCATCTTGTGATTGGGATTTTACCACTAGGTTATTCCTCAGTTATCAACTATATGCCATGTTATATTCGCAAAATTAACAATTAGACAAGAAATAGTTAACTTGGTGGTAGTTGCTTGTTAGTCGGTTGTCATGTAATAGAGAGAGAGAAACCTAAATTTGCAAAATAAAATGATGGTTCAGAGAAAAGAATAGGTACTTAATAAGATGTGCACATTTTAGGCTAACCTTAATATTACCTGAATAACAGTTTTTGATCCGACAAATGCTTCAATCTTTTTCCAGTCACGGTCAAAGCTGTATGTTAACAAAATGAGCAATCAGTAACAAGAAAAATCTTAACTCAAAGGAGACATCTTAATATTCTTTTATCCTAGAACTGAACACAGTGACAATAAACAAAGTGATCAAGTTCGGTAAAATGAAGCTATTTCTTCAGCAGAATGAGATCAACAACTTCCAAAACAATGTTGAGATATATATATAAAAAAAAAAAAAAGGAAAAAAAGGTAACTATAGAACTCCCTTAAACCATTTGCTGTTCTTCAAAAGATAATAATATAGTGGAAAATTGGCCGACCCACTAAATTTGGGATTTATGGGTAGTTGATATATGTGAATTAACACAAGATGCAGAAGAAACAATATGTTGAAGTACACATTTCTTGAACTCGTAAAGAAACAAACTTGTATAACAGCGAATCCCAGAACTCCTTAATTTCATTCGCGAGCAATCTAGTTAACCTAGAAGTAGACGAGAAACGACAATGATTCGAAATTCACAAAAACAATCTTCCCGTCTTACAACTCAAATTAAACCATTACCCCTAAATCAAAATGAATTAGCAGTAGAAATTGTTCCAAAATTCAGAACTCACAGCTGAAGAGCTTCGAGGAACTTATCATGCTCGGGTTCGGTCCAGCTTTCTCGCGACTTGGTAATAGTGTAGGGTTTTCGAATTTTCTTTGACGGGTCATCGGAAGGAGACAACGGGTTGGATGTGGACGGCGTTGCGGCGGCAGAAGCGGTGGCGGTTGGGTTGGAGAAGGAGCCGAGATTAGGAAGGGCCATGACCATCCGATTCAAGTAGAAAAATATGTGGGTGGGTTTGGGTTTGTCTTTTGGCAAACAAAAACAAATACGTGAAACCAAATTGGATTATTTTTCGCTAATAAAAAATAACTAATAAGTGTTGAAAGATATTGTCAAAAGTGTTGACATAGATTTTAAAAGTAGGAGTATATATTAGGAGGAAATGTTGAAATGGATAATAATTTGTCATGTACTTGATAAATAAAGTGTTAGATAAGCTTTTTTCCTCTGAAAATAATTTAAAATATAGAATATAAATATTTTTAAAAATCTAAATGTGCTATGAAATAATTAGCTTGTTGATATTTATTACTTTAGACGTAAACTTTTCACTACTTTTTCGTTATGATGATGTTAACTCCCACACTTTCATAACTTTCTTCTATGAATTTTTCACACAATCATCATAATTAATGTCATGTTTATGACAATCTTTTATATATCTATATATGTAATGTTACAAAAAAAATGGCACCAGAATTCATATTGTACTCACCTGAGAATCACTTGAACTCTTAAAGAATAAGAAAAGTTGATATCTCTTGCCTCTTTATTTTATTGTTTTCATGCTTTGATAATTTCTACTAACTTTTTTAGACTAATCTTATCACATGTTACTTGTCAAGCTGGCCAAAATTTTGTTTATGTTATGCTTTGCTAAATAATACTATCATTTTTGTTGTCATCTTTTTTTTTTATTAATTATAGTTTATACAAAGGATAAATCTCGATCAATTTTTGCTTATTATGCTAATGGTTAAGGAAAAGACGGTTGATTCAAGTCTAATCATATCAAGTAGATAAGATATTGGATTAGTGACTCGGTGCATTGTGATAATAAGATATTATATTTAAATTCCAACGATTTACTGATTAAGATGCCTTCATATGGTAAAATGTTGGCTTTAAATCCTAATGCACAATAATAATAGTAAAATGATGATCAAGGCAAAATATATTTTTGTTGAAAAGTCATGATACATGTTCTACTAAATTTGCTCCACTTCCATAAGTAAATGTGATACTAGTATTTATGATAAGTCAAAAAGATGTAAAATAATTATTTTGATTAAAGAAATGACGTGCCCGTGGCAAATGACAAAATAATGTTAATCATCATTGTATTAATAAAAGGAAGAATATTATGTGTTTTCCGAATGGTCCTTCAAATACTGAAAATAGTTACTATTATGATTTGGTACAAAAGGTCATTTGCCACGCAAAATTCGTGCACTTAATTTTATAAATCTTTTATTAATTTATTTTTTTTAAAATGGGCATTTAACCTTTGAAAGTGATATTGTTGCAGGTCATAACAATAATCTTTGAAATTATTCTTTTAGAAAATTAGAAAATACGAGCAAAATTATAAATTGAGAACAAATATAAATTATGTCTCAAATTTGACTTCTTCAACTCAATGGCTCAAATTTATCCCTTCTTTCATCTATTGGGTCTAAAAAATTCCTAACCTATAAGAAATGATTCAATTTTGTCATCTTCTACCTAGAAATATGTCCATCAAAGATTAAAAATTAGTTAATATATTTTTCCTTTGCCCGATTTTAAAATATCTTATTAGAATTGATAAATAAATATTTTTATTCTATAAAAAAAAACTTTTTAGCCTTCAGATTCAAATAAAGTATGTCTCAATTTTTTAACTCATCTCACTATTATTAGCATCTTTAGTCATATATCTCTCCTTCTTTTTTTTTCATTACTTAACAATTTAAAACTTTTAAAATACTACGATTTTTTATAAAAAAATTTAAGTGATAATAAATTTATCTTTCTTAAAAAGCACTTTGAAATAAAAAATTCTCAACAAAAATTTATTATTTTAGACGATTTTGAAATGGCCAGCCGATATTTGTGGGCACACACGCATAATGAAATTCCTCATTCTTATGATTAAGATAATATGTTTCTATATATAATAAGTTACAATGCAACTATGATTATAACTATCTTGTTAGCTTTCAACCAAAAGCTAACAAGATTTTTAGTTACATATTTATTATTTATTATTTAGTTAAATAATAAATATGTCATTTCTCTATATATTTATTACTCATTCCTATTGAATTTGTTAATCTGATTTTCATCTGACACATAGTTTACGAAAGTAAATTAGATTTTGAGAAAAAACATTAAGTGATACTTGAAGTTGTCCCAGATTTTCAAAAAGACACATTAACTTTGTGTGCGTCCTATTACCCCACAAAACATTCAAAATCACAATAAATACACATTTTTTACACAATATTTCCACTTTGGACAAAAATATCCTTCGAATGTGCAATTTCTTTAAAAAAAAAGTTGGACCCATTATTGATGTATTCAAGGATGCTTTGGTAATTTCCTATGATGAATTCGTTTTGTTTGTTTCTTTTAAATTTATTACTATACTAAATAATTCTATAAAATATTATGAATCACGATAATTAATTACTTAAATATTTAAAAGATATAAAAATATATAAAAGATCTGATTGACTCTTCAAATTTTACCGGTGACACATAAATTGGGACAAATGAAATAACATATATTATTTGAAAATTTCTTAGAAAGTACTATAAATTACAGTAATTAACAGCTACAAATATTTCAAAAACAAAAAAAAATTGATTGAATCTCAAATTTTTTTTAGTACTAAATAAATTGAGAAAGAAGAAATGACCTTTATTATTTGAAAATGGCGTAAAAGTATTACAAATCATACAATAAGAATTAACAATTTAAAATTTTAAAAGACTTTAATGCTTTATACTTATTCTATTTCCACTTTGGACAAAAATATCCTCCCAATATGCATATTTTTTAAAACAAAAAGTGGGACCCATTATTGATGTATTCAAGGATGCTTTGGTAATTTTCCTATGATGAATTCGTTTTGTTTGTTGTTTATTTTTTTTAAATAATTGTATAAAATATTATAAATCACAATAATTATTTACTTAAATATTCAAAAGATATAAAAATATGTAAAAGATCTGATTAACTCTTCAAATTTCATCGGTGACATAAATTGGACAAATGAAATAATATATATTATTTGAAAATTACTTAGAAAGTACAATAATTTACAGTAATTAACAATAGAATATTTTAAAGAAAAAAAATTGATTAAATCTCGAAATTTTATTAGTACCACATAAATTGAGAAAGAAGAAATAACCTTTATTATTTCAAAATTGCGTAAAAGATATTACAAAGCATACAACAATAATTAGCAATTTAGAATGTTAAAAGACATAAAAAAAATTTTACCATAGTTAACAATAATTAAAAATTTAAACTATTTTAAATTAATATTAAAGTTTGATTAACTCTTTAATTTTGTTTTTTGTCACATAAATTGAAACAAAAAATGATACATATTGGGCCCGTGCTAGCACGGGCACCGATGTCTCGTTTAAACAATTTACATGAGTTCACACGTTAGCTCATATATTTTGTTTATTTAAAGCAAGTACTTCTATTAAGTAAGACAAGCATTTAGACAAATGGTCAAGAAGTTTCCGAATTTTTTTTATTACAAATCAAAAGGAAAGTAATAAATAATCGTAAAAGTGCAGTAAATTTTTTTTATTGATATATATAATTAGAATTAGAAAATATTTTAAGTCATTTTTAATATGTTAAGTAGCGATGGCAATAGAGCGGAGTGGGGCAAATCCGCATGAACCCGCAAAGACTTTACCACTCCCCGCTTCGCCCTACATAGCACAATTTTTTTTATTTGTGTTCCGCCCCACCCCGCCCCGCTCCACCCACATGAACCCAACCCGCATAATTCATAATTTTTTTAATTAAAAGAAATGTAATAGTTATCAATAGTTACCGCTAATATTCAAAGATTAGTATATATTGTTGAAGAAGAAGGAAGCTGGCGATTGGAACATGTCAAAGGAACAGGTTCAACGAATCTGACTGATGTGTCTACAACAAGTGTTGATGAAGAAGGAAGCTAATGATTGGAACATGTCAAAGGAACAGGTCCAACGAAGCAGACTAACGAGTTTACAACACTGCTGTAGAATTAAAGTCGCACTAGGATTAGACTGTTGTGTCGTAATTTTCCTATCTATAGCAAAATCACTATTTTGAAATGTTCTAAGTATAAATCAATTTGAGAAATACTTAGAAAGAGTCGCCACTTAATTTTTTAAAGAAATTAAGAAAACTTATAATTTTCAAAGATTTAAACAGAAAAAATCATTTGAAAATACCAAAGAGGGTTCGGGGTTCAATTTACACTTCGAGAAGGGTTTAAGCATTCAAAGTGTCCGCTAACATGCGGTTGACCTGCGACTTGACTAAAATAATTTTGACTATTTTAAAAATAATAATTTAACATAAAAAATATATAATAATTTTACACTATTCGATTAACTTTGAGAAAATAGTTAAACAAAGAGCAACTTTTAATTTTTAAGAAAATTGGAACTTAATTGTGACAACTTGGTCAATTAAGACTTTAACAAAATTAGAGTAATTAAAATTTAATTGAATCATTTTAGAAAATAATAACTTGAACTTAAACCATTTTAAATTGGTTAGAGAGCAAATTGGGTTAAATTATTATTATTATTATTTTCTGACAAAAAGATTAAGGAAAGGAAAACACTTTAATTGTTTTTAAGTTTATTCAAGAAAATTGTCTAACTTAAAAAAAATCTAAAAAAAAAAAAAGAGCATAAAATATGTTTTAAGTGAAGAAGTACCGAAGAACATTTTTCCCTTGTTGAACAAAAGATTCAACTTACTTAAAGTGATAAAATTTGACCAACTACTTGCTTGATTAATAAATCGACACAAACGAAAGAAATTTATTGAAAATGAATCAACACAAAGAAAATAACTCCTCTTTTGGGAAATCTAATTAAGTTAATTAAAATAAATTAAGGTTAGAGATAAATGAAGTTAGTCGGGCATAATCAAAATAATTAGGAGAGTAAAAGAGAATGAAATTGGGCCCCTTTTTGGGCCAATTTCGCTACAAGTTTTTGG